TTGAAACTTAATTATATAATATATATATATATATATATATATATATATATATATATATATATATATATATATAAATTTTGTAATAACAGCAACGGTTGATAACATATTGAAAACATTTAGATATTAACACAAAATTTCTTGTGTTACACTTGTATCCCCCCCCCCCTAAAACAGTGAAAAATCATAAAAACGTAGGGGTATGAACTCACCTTGTGTGTGGGTTCCCGGTTGGTTACGATGTGGTCATGAAGATTTTCGGGTTAGAACACGTGATTATAGTCGTATCCTAATAATATTATACACAATATCGTATTTAAAATTAGTGAAATGAATGATTAATAAAGTGTTATATTAACACTAAATAATATACGATGCTTACCAAAACTTGTAATAATTTGGAAGAATCAAACACTTGGAAAGAAAAGAAGTTCGAATATTGAGAGAGAAATGAGGTGAGAATGCCTTACTGAAAGTGTCTAAAATGTTTCATTTTGTTGCTTAAGTATGAAGGAAAAGGTAGGCGCTTTGCGAGATTTCGACCTAGAACTCTACCCAGGAAAGGAGTTTGCGGTCAATCTGTTTTCTGTGTGGACCAAAAACTGATTTCGGTCCGAAGGTAAGTGTTCTTCGCACGTTTTCGGTGGGGGAAAAAGGTGGTCATCGGTTTGGCTGTTTTCGGTCCGAGGAGAGTGGAGCCAACGAGGGATTTCGGTCGGACAGTGGGGCTAGATGCTAGGGTTCTCGGTCTTGTGTGTTTATTTTCAATTTTTGCAACATTTATCTAATAAAGGGTTTATATATTAAAATATAAATTTTTGCCTTAATAAATTAACAAATCAACAAATTTGACTTTTATTTAGCAAGTTTGACTTTTGTTGACCTTGGTTGACTTTTGTTGACTTTTACAGACTTGAAAATAACGGGTTGTTACAGTCATCCAAGTGAATATGCTTTAAGATATGTCATGTACTTACACCATATTTGTAACATCCATAAAAATAATGAAAATTTTAAACTTTTAAAACCAACCCAAATCATAAATTGTTTACAACATAGTTTTCAAAACATGTTCCATATCAGAGTTTTCCCAAAATCATAAGTCAAAATACGAGGATGTGTACGATCACGACTTCGCCTTCCCGCGATCGTCTGAAGTACTTGAAACGTAAACCAAAACTGTAAGCCCAAAGCTTAGTGAGTTCCCCCCAAAGTACCAACACATAATCAAGTAATACATATACAATAACAACATGAAATGGGTCCAGAACTGAAAGACTGGATTACCCTGAGCCCACAACATAAGTCTGGCTTGCCCTTGGAGCCTACAGCTTATTTCTGGCTTGCTCCCCGACCAAATCATTCCTCATACTGAACACCACCAAGCGCTCAGTACGAGTCTAGCATGCCCTATCCGGCCCTCGGCTCATAATGCTCTTGAGCCCTTAGTATGAGTCTAACATGCCCTACCCGACCCTCAGCTCATATCTGGATTGCTCCAGGGTTTGTTGTCTACCGCACGGAGCAATACAATCTCAACCCAACCCACACAATATGTCGACATATAACAGATACTAACATATATATATATATATATATATATATATATATATATATATATATATATATATATAATCATATCAAAACTAGCATGCATGTCTATCCCATACTCAACATATCAACGAATATCAGGTTATCAAACCAATGGGTCGCCCTTGGTGCCTTCAAACCATAAGTTCAATGAGGAAAACTCACCTCGCAAATCCGTACAGGTAGCAGAAAAGAATATCGCTCCACGAGTCACTCTACAGATCACCTATACACAGGGAGAGACCCAGACCTTAGGCTTCATAACAAAATACCAAAAATGCCCCTAAGGTCAAACTAGGTCAAAAGTCAACAGAAAGTCAACCCAGCTGAGTATGCCCAACGTGGTCAACTCCCATGCCCCGCGTACTCAGCCCTTGACCAAAATAGGTAGTAGACCACGTACACCCAACGTACCCCATGGTACGCCCATCGTATACAGCTGCCATGTAAAACTTCCATTAACTGCTTAATTCAACAAGTCCAAACGTGCAAGTCTAGATCTAAGCCTAAAAAGGTGTTCCAAACCATAAAGTTTCCAACTTTATGGTTATGCATGCCTTAATAAGTCCCAATACCATAACCCTAGTTTGTCTTAACCACTTAAGACTTTTATAACTAGTATGCAAGCACCAAATGAGTCAAGATAGCATTTTTACGACTTAATGCACCTCAAATCTTCTGAAAGGGAAACTCCTTTGGTCTTAGTGTAGCTCATACTCATTAAGTCCAAGAAAAGGGGCTAAAACTCATAAAACTTCTCATGGCAAGGTCTTAAGGAAATACAAGTCAAAATCAAAGCTTTATACCTTCTGGAGCTTCCCAAGGAGGCAAGATCCCAGATCCACAAGCTTGCTTCCACACCAAGACTCCTCAATATGAAACATCCAAAACTTATAACCCAAAAATGTCATTTTTGATTTAAGTAAAAACAGTATTCCAAACATTGTTCATACATCCCAAACAAATAAATATGACAAACATCATGAAAATCAGAATATGTCCCATAAACAAAATCCATATGTTGTGTGCGATGTAGTCAACCTAAGCTTTTCCCCTTAGAACCAGAAGTACCTAAAACATAAACTAAAAACCGTAAGTATAAAGCTTAGTGAGTTCCCCAAGATAACGCATACCAAACATATCACATAACAGGCCCCACCCAAAAAGATACGGGCCTTGCCCACACTCTCATAACGGGCCCCGTCCACACTCGTAATACGGGCCAGCCCAATAAACATACATATACAAACACATACAAGTATCACACAGACAATAAGTATATCAACAAAATCAATCAAGGGTTGGCCTTGGTGCCATAGACCCGCTAAACCCGGTGAGGAAACTCACCTCGAAAAGCTGAATGAAACGAATGATCCCTAGCTGCTGGTCCTACAGCTCCCTGAGCTATCAATTGGCACATAAAAACTAATTAACATTTGGGATCTACATCATAACCAAAAATCACTACTTATGGTAAAAATACCATTTTACCCCTACCCTAGCTTGGCCCAAGAATGGAGCCCATAACCGCAATCCAATGGCCTAAAATTTAAACAATCTATCAAGGCCCAAAATATGGCCCAATTTCCAATATGGCCCAACTCCTTTACATGGGACTTAGCCCAAGGCCCAATAACATACTTGGCCCAAAAACTACCAAAGTCAGATGGCCCAACTAACCCTAACTTTCCAAGCCCAAACCGAAAGTCCAAAATTGAAATGCCAACAGACTGAGTACGTTGGGCGTACTCATCTGGTACGCTAAGCGTACTGCATTGAGCGCTTGTACGTTGCGCGTAAAGGCTTGTACACCCAGAGTACTCAACCAATTCAGCCATCTTCGAGATTAAGTTACTAATCCGTTAAGACTTTGTTCCAGAATGTAGATTTGAGCCCTTTAAGCTGAAATGTCACGTAAAGTTGCTAAATTTACGTGCATGCATGACGATAAGAAGCTCTAAAGCTAAAAAAGGACCTAATGAAGAACTTAATGGATGCATGAAGCCCATAAACTCCATAAAGTTGGCACCTTTATGCCGAAGGAGTCCATAAAAACCTTGGATCTGAAAGAATAAGCCTTTTGGACGTCCTAATCCCAAAATCCATCCAAACCATGGCTAAAAACATAACTATTTAACCAAAAATGAGATCTAAACATTTAGCAACCAAGATAAGAACTTGATACCTCAAACTTCTTGCAAAATGAGTAGAGGTTCTGGATCCAAGACCTCCTCTTCAGGATAAGCAACTTCTAGTTTAGGGTTTCTGGACATAAGAGGCTGATAAGGAGGCTATCATTTGGGACATAATGACATTATATAGGGCGTGCACCCTAAAAATTAGGGTTTTTGGTCATGACCACATACGCTGCGCGTACCACCCTATACGCTAAGCGTACGTGCATGCCTCCGCGATTCACTTTGGTCCACCTACGCTCCGCGTTCACCAGGCTTACGCCCAGCGTACGGCCTCGGCGAGCCCACACAATAAGGCCAAATTCACTAAGTCCACACAACTTACACAATTAGACCATTAAATAAATGATTAAATAATTAATACATTGGAACCATCGGGCGTTACACCAGGTATGCCAAACACCATCTACAAAAATTTAGTGTTGTTTTGTTCCACCCAGTCCTACTCACCAAACGGGGCACCATCTAAAAAACTTAGTGTTGTTTCTTTCCACCCAATCTTGCTCGCCAAACAGGGCCTAAAGGACCATGATAAGTTACTCTATTCAAATTCATCCATTTTAATTGTGGTGACTTAGTAAGACATGTGGAAGATATAATGGACAAAATACCGACATATATTCAAATTCTGACACTACTCAGCCCTTGTAGTCATGAACTGCAATGACTCCGGTGCATAAGGCATAGTCTCATGTTTACAATAAGTATTAGTCTGTATGCAAAAGTGACCCAGAAATGATGTTAGGAAAGTTTCTTTTCAAAAAAAAAATCATCTAGGTATCAATTTTTACATAGCCCACACGAATTCTTTTTGGAACGGTGGGATCCATTATTGCGGCCCAACAAAAACTTCTTCTCCCCTCCACTCCCGATTCTAATTTCTGTGGAGAACTTCTACACCAGCTGAAACTGGTGTAGAAGTTTGGTCTCGTGATCACTGTTGACTCTAATTTCTTGGAGCTGGAATTTGAGATGTAGTTTGGTCTCGTGATCACTGTTTCATCAGGTGATAACGACTATGTTCGTCTTTGACAAGGTAAGACTATACTTATGCTCTTGATATTCGTGTCCAGTGAGTTCCTATTTATGTTTACGGAGGTAGTTGATTTTTGTTATGTGGCAAATGTGAATACCCCGTCGATAAGTCCTTAGTATAAGCGAGTTTCTGATTCGAGTCCTTTTGCTTTGAATTATTATTAAGAATCAGTAGCATTGTCAATGGCGTTTCGGCGTCTGTTCTCCACCGCCACCAAAAACAAGCAACTGCCGCTGAAAAACTCCGCCGTCGCTAACCCTAACCCTAGTCTATGTTCTATCTCCACCTTCATCACACGTTCTTACTCGACTTCATTCCTAATCACCAAAACCCCCAAATCTCAGAAGAAAAAACGCAAAAAGGAAGAATCCGCAAGAACCAAACACGTACAGCACGAATCCGAACGTATTCCTCACTTTGAGAAGATTCTCAATCGAGACAGTCACTTCCGCTTTGTCACCAAAACCAAGGATTACCTCTTGAAACAACCACAACAAGTCCTCCGCCTAGATGATGCCGGAAAACTCTACCGTGAGCTAGGGTTTCCTCGCGGCCGTAAAGTTCTAAAATTCATCCAGCGCCACCCTCTCATTTTCCAAACCTACCGCCACTCCAATGACAAAATCTGGTTCGGATTCACAGATTTCATGGAGACATTTCTAGAAGAAGAGAAGATGATTATGGATGAAATGGAACATGATCGGATCAATACTGTTAGAAAGCTGCTAATGATGTCTGCAAATAAACGAATTCCTCTAAGCAAGATCTATCACTGTAGATCATTATTCGGGATTCCAGAAGATTTCAGAGATCGTTTGAGAAAATATCCAGAGTATTTCAACACCATTGTTGAAGAAGATGGAAAGAGAATTCTCGAGCTTGTGAACTGGGATCCAAAACTCGCCATCAGCTCATTGGAACAACAGTTCATGGTTGATGAAAATCGAGCCAAGAAAGCTTTTCAATTCAAGATAAAACACGCAAAATCATTGAATTTAGACGAACAAGATGAACGGAAATTGAATCTGTTAAACACTCTTCCTCTGGTTTCGCCTTATTCAGATGGGGCAAGCTTGGATCTTTGGACTTTGGAGGCTGAGAAGTATCGGGTAGGTGTTCTTCATGAGTTCTTGAGCTTGACATTGGAGAAAAGAGCATCGATTCACCACATTGTTGAGTTTAAAGAGGAATTAAGTCTTACTAAGCATACTTATGCAATGCTGTTGAAGCAGCCAAGGAGCTTTTATTTGGCAGGAACTGAGATGAATTGGGTTGTGTTCTTGAAGGATGCTTATGGTGAAGATGGTGTCTTAATTCATAAAGATCCACAGGTTTTGTTTAATGAGAAGTTCTGTGAGTTTGCAGACAAACAAGAACTGGAAATTGAGTAGCTTGTGAATGAGCCCTTGAATACAACTTGACATTGCTATTAAATTCAAAAAAAATTATGATCCATTTATATGGTTTATGAACAGGCAAAATAGAGATTAATGTTTGTGCTTTCACTATATTATAGACTTAGCAACGTAACATGTAACTATTTACTGTAGTGATTAAACTATTATATTTTTTTGACTGTTGAAAAAAATACTTCTTTCTGGTTACTTGGTTTTGATATCAAAGCACAATACATAAGAACATTAAAATAATATAGAAAAAAGCATATGTACGTTAATCTTTGTTTTTGGTAGCATGAAAACATTTTTTGTACAGAAAATCTGAACACGTTCGAAAATCATGAACATTAATCTACGAAAATCATGAACTTGTATGGAAATTTTGAAGAAGTTAGAAAATCATGAACAAAACATGTTCGAAAAATAAGAACTTGTTCGAAAAATAAGAACTTGTTCGAAATGATGGGCGTGTTAGAAAAGATGTACCTTTTATTAATAATAATCTGTGTTTTGTATTTTATTATTATTATTCTGTTTTTGATATAAAAAAATCCAGGTTGTTTGTGCTTGAGAGATTATCAAAACAAGAGAAATGACGCCAATGAATAAAACATGTATGTCTATGACATGATGTCTTTAGGTGAACGAATTCCCGCCGATAAACGAGTTAAAAGTCCTACACGTTCTTGATCTGCTTGCTGAGTCAAGGCGCTAGAATTGCATTTTGACAAGAGATTGTCTCATCCAAACCTACGACCATCCGCAAAGATGTGACTATGCATTCATAGGACCTAAAAGACACTTAAAAAACAATAATGTTTTTTATATCTTGTTTGATAATCTTTCACATGAATGATTATCAAAAAAGCATAGAAAATCATTACTAGGCTTCTTGGTCGACGATATAAATTATATAGGGAATGTATTATATAATGGTTTTATTTCCTTTAATTGGTATTATTTGTTAGCAACTTCCTCAAAAATTTCCTTAGCAATCTTCGGTTTTTAATTATGAAATCATTGTTTAATCTAACAAGTAATAACGAATGTGTACAACTTACAACGATTTCCTTTGCAATAATTTCTTCAAAAATTTAGGAATAGATAGCTAGTTTTGGGCTGATGACATCTCACATAAAAGATTAATTTACAAATGAGTCGACATCGAATGAAGAAGTAGATATAAATTCGTAAATCTTTGGTACCATTGTTTTCTTCTTTGCCATTTGCTTAGATCAAGTTAGTAGTTACCTGATGTTTCTTGACATTTATATCATATTCCAACTGTTGGCCAAATTATAGGTAAGAACGAATATGAGTTTGCATAACTCTGTCATTAAGCCCGAGTTTCCACTACTTGTGACTTCAACATTTCATACGATATGTTGGAAACATTGGCCTTCAATTGCTTTTGAGATCTCTTATTGACCGGATGACTTCTATTGATAATTTCTCAGTTGAGAAATTTGAAAACGGATATATGTACATCCCAGTACATCTTAGAAAGTTTTGATAACCACTCATTTAGTTGAGAAATATAGAATGTGTATTGATATCACATAAACTACACCCTTAAACATACTAAAAAGACATGTCTTCAATAAATTTTATAATGTTTGAAAATTTTGAACTATCTTTCACTAAAAAGTACTTTGAAAATCATAATTGTGTTCGAAATTTTTTTAAATGTAATTTTCAAAGTAACATTATATGATAAATTAGATTATTGGAAATCTTACTTAGTTTGAAAAATCAAATATGAATTCAAAAAATATGGAAACACATTTTTTCGAAGATGATTTTGTGTCAGAAGTTCAGATTTTAGAAATCATATTCCGTTTCAAAAATCATTATTTTCGAACTCTATTTAAAAATTTATAGTCAGCTTCAAATATGTTGATTTTTGAACCAATGGTAATCAATCATTTTCTCAAATTATGTTGAAGAGATAATCGAGGTTTTTATTAACGATTTCACTCTGTATGACAATTGTTTTCAAGAGTGTTTGAAAATTTTGACAAAAATTTAAAGAGGTGTATTAAGATAAATATCATTTAAATTATGAAAAATATCATTTTATGGTGGAACAACGTCGATCACACTATCTCTTCAAAAGGTTTTAAGAAAGACAAGTCAAAAATAGATGTCATTAAATCTGTCTCATCCTAATAGTATCTGCGAGCTAGGTCTTTTTCTTGGCCATGCAAATTCGTATAACTACTTTATCAAAGATTTCTCAAAGATCACTCGATCGATGTATGAACTACTACAAAAAAATGTCAGAAAGTTACTTAATGAAGCATGCAAGAAGGCCTTTGACGTCTTGAAGGAACTGTTGGTCACCACACCAATAATTCAACCATCAAATTGGGACTTACAAATTGAAATAATATGTGATGCTAGCAATCATGCGGTGAGAAGTTGGGACAAATAAAGGATCGGGTCCCACATATCATTTACTATGCACTAAAGAACATTGACCATACCCAACATAATTATCCTACCATAGAGGAAGAACTTTTAGCCATTGTGTTTGCCATGGAAAAGTTTAGGCAATATTTGTTAGGTGCTAAAATCGTCGTATTTTTTGACATGTAACTGTGAAGTAACTAATAACCAAGAAGGATACAAAGCCGAGATTGATTTGATGGTACTCTTGCTCCGAGAATTTAACCTTGAAATTAGAGACAAAAGTGGCAAGCAAAACTTAGTGGCAAACCATTTGAGCAGAAATATCAATAATGAAGAACCGATGCCCTTGAACGTCTTCTTTTCAGATGAAAACCACTTTGCTACTCAAACAAAATTTACATGACATGCTGATTTAGTCAACTACTTGGTGACTAACACAAGCTCAAATGATAAGATGATGAAAGAAACGAGAAAATATATGCGATGCGAATCATACCTTTGGAAACATTGCTCTAATCAAGTTTTGAGAAGATGCGTTGATCTTAGTGAGGTACCTTCAATATTTAATTGATGTCATACCAAGGCTTATGGCGGACACTTTGGTCCAAAATGAACCATGTATAAGGTACTCGACTTATGATTCTTTTGGACGGACATATTTCTTGATGCTTATATGTTTTGCAAAGTGTCACACCCCCAAACCAAAGATGGCGGAAACGTCCGGGGGTAGAGGACTTCATGTATAGTATCACAACAACGAGTATAATAGTGCTCAAAGTAATTACAACCATCATAAATATAATTGAAAAAGTTACACCATAAGATATGTTTACATGTTTCAAAATCAATTACATTATGATGACAAAATGAACTGTTTGACGACTTAACGTCCCATCCTCAAAGTGCTGATGTTTTCCTGTTTCACTGATTTCCTGAGAATACAAGTAGTTTTGAAAAAAGTGTCAACAATTAAGTTGGTGAGTTCATAAGAGTTTTGTTTGAGAAAGAAACTGTTTTCCTTGTAAAAGCGACAGAGTATGTTTCCAGAAAAATCCAATATTTTCCTTATTAAGTGTGAAATGAATGCTCCTATGTTATGCGATAATGTACCCTAGAAGGACCCATAGATTCCTTCTATAGTCGCCCAGCGTATATAAGTTATATAAAATTTAAGTTAAATAAACCGTTGAATATAATGGGTCTGCCCTAGGTCCACAACCAAACAAGGAACAGGAGATAAGGCGGGCCCACCAATTCTAAGTCGATTGTGACTAGATTCTTATATAACTCTAGCATATACACTTTGCAATTATAGCTGAAGTCTAACAATTCTAGACGGAATGTAGTTTTAATAGAATATGTTTCCAAAGAAAATCCAATATTTTCCTTATAAAAGTGATGTGTTGTCTTAAATCCCAAGACCGAAAGTGTACAGTACTTTATAAAAGTGATGTGTTGTCTTAAATCCCAAGACCGAAAGTGTACAGTACTTTATAAAAGTGATGTGTTGTCTTAAATCCCAAGACCGAAAGTGTACAGTACTTTATAAAAGTGATGTGTTGTCTTAAATCCCAAGACCGAAAGTGTACAGTACTATCCATACTTATTGATATAAAAAGTGATTTTAAATCGACATAAAACCTTTTTGATTTGAGGAAAAATCCCGTAAACTTTATGTGTTGTTAACTCCCTATGTGAGTCGCTATAACCATACTATAACTAATGAACCTGCCACGACGTTTCTCAAGCGTCGAAAAAGATAATGACACTTGTCACCTCAGACCTGCCGGTCTAGCTGTTGCATGCAGCTCAGGTGTGGTTTGTCAAACCAATATAGATCTATACACAACTATCACGTTCTCCCTACAAGAGACTCTGGTTATAACTACCAGGAATTTTAACCTGTACTCTAGGAGTACTAAGAGGAATGTCTCACAATTTACGTTAACAAGTTTATGTGTGGTGTGCGTGAGTGTAAAACCTTTTTCTGTGGGAATAAAACCTTCCGAACTATGTTTGTTGTGTTAATGGAATCATAAACTATACCTATTATAGTTTATCATGTAATATATGAAAAACCCATTTGTTTTGAGAGTGAAACCTTTTTCATGTGGTAAAAACCCATAAACTATGCTTATTGTAGTTTATTATATGTGTTCGAAATGAATGAAGAAACCATATCATGAATGACTAAATTTCAGTTTATGATGATAAACTAACAACAAAATACATTCAATATTTAGAACTTATTGTTATACACTTTGCTCAACATAATACAAAGTGTTATGAAAGTTATAAGCTGTTAACTAGTTTCTAACCGTTCTGCACTGTTTTAGAAAAATCATAGAAAAATCATACGAAGTCGAAAACTAATCCGTAAATTCTGAGAGTTCATAAAATTTGTCTAATTTATTCATAATTTTTATTATGATTTTTGGAAGTCTTTAACTTGTGTTAAAATGTTCATATTCACAGACTGGTCCGAATTCGTTTCTGAAATGATAGGCAGTTTTGTAAAAATCACCATAAATCGTAGAAAAATCGTATGGAGATGTGCAAGAAGTCATTTTAAAGGTATGAAC